TATAAAATCACAGCTTCAGTAAGTTTGGGCTGGAATTCTGTAAGGATTCCACAATTGATGGAGAGACGAAATTTATGGAGCGATTCCCACTAAAACTGAGAAATATTAAATTTGAAACGTGTAAAATTTTACAATTTCAAAAACACCCTTTTGTCATTCTTGCTAAAACAGTGTTAAGAAGTTAAAAGCGAATGAAGACGAAAAGCAAACATTGAAAATGGTGAATTTTTTTTAACACAATCGCCATTTTAGAGCTAAAATATGTGTTACTCAGAGTAGCAAGATTCTTTTCAACTAATATAACACATTTTTAACATTTCTTGATTCAGTGAAAATCGCTCCATTCGTTTCATTCCTGATTTAATTGAGAATTTGTTCAGTTTTATAATTGTTTTAAATTCTTAACGCTTTTGGAATTCATTTTAGACTGTTTTGGGGTCAAAGTTCTTCTAGAATTGTGACGCAGAGGAGTGATAAAATGGGATTCTTAAGTATCAGGCTGTGTCAAAAGTCTAGAGATGGCTAGAGAAAGGTCAATTGGGAGTCTGAGGTACAATTGCCTCTAATGTGCCCGCGAAAGTTCAGATGTGGAATAAGAGGAAAAGAAGCAGAAACTCTTGACATTCAGAATTGATCGCTTTCAAAGCGGAAATGACGATTCCAGCAGTATAGCAATTCTAATGATATGTGCAAACTTCTCTGGACTCTCTAGAATGCCATTCTCGACTATCCCTCGCTCGTCCATCGACTCACACGGGCTGAAGAGAGCCTAAAGATGTGCGAAGTTTTTGACGGTTCCTATATATGGGCGCCTCTCTCGCTCTGGTTCCTCGCCCAAAAATCTCTGGCTCTCTCCCTCGGCCACCGAGATGTACATATATCCCTTATAATTCACTCTGCACACATGTGTAGTGTCATACAAAAGCCAACATAAATCTTGATTGACATTTGGGCAATTCTTTACAAATCTTTACACACGCACTCATGCAGCATTCTTCATACAATCAACGTGCCATAAGAGACCTCATAACAAGATCTATTCACGCATATTTCTCGCTTCAATTGCATGTAAGTTGTGGCACTCTCTCGAACACATAGTCCTTTGCAGGTTTCATTCTCTGCCTCCCCGGATGAATTACTACAAGATTTTTGTAGGTCGCCGCGATTAGGCAGGAGTGAATCATCGCACTAAAATCGATGAAATCAACACACAAATTCGAAGAAAATATCAATCATACTCGCGATGGAATAATTCGGGACTTTTGGCGCGCATGCAGAAGGAGGGATAGCATTTTGGCAATTGCCGAAATGCTCAAACCATGTGCTTGTGTTCTCATCCTGAAGGCATTTTATGTAACAAATACATAGTTTCATGCCACATACACACAGAGGCCAGGCTTCGGTGGTGCATATAGAATTTTGGGCAAGAAGGAAGGAAGCCATATGGTAGCAATGCGACTAAATAAAGTATGTAAGTCGAACATAAAACGTCTATGAAGTTCTAAAAACCAATTTAAAAAGGCCCATTTATAAGCTGTTTCCTCGCGCGCCGAAAGGAGGTGCATTCTATATGGGCATTCAAGAATGAGAACGTGGGGAAGTGCAGAAAGACCCGATAAATGGACTGAGAGAAGATGCTCCGGAAGAGGGAAGGTGTAGTGAAGAAATATCACAGGAAACAATACTGATAATCCCCATCTCTGAATAATGAGCTCCCATTGAAAGATCGCCTCATGATGACTCTGCAGCCAGATATCATTGCGCTACACACAAACAGTTCTCTCTCTCTCTCTCTCGAATTAATTATGAGTCATTTGTTTGTTGCGAACGCCACATCAGGCCCTATAATGCCATGAGATCTGGTTGTAGGACTGATTCATGTGCCTCATTGAATTAACTTGTGAAATTTCACTCAATGGGAAAGCCGTACAATTTGTGTGCGAAATTGAATCATCCCCAGAGCCAAAGATCAAGCAGCCTCTCACTCTCCCTCTCTCTCTCTCTCTCTCTCTCGCGAACTATGTACAGTATCGTGGACACGAACCGAGCGGAACGCACTCACCTAAGCACATGCCTAAGCACACACTTCTAAAATGCCTCTGCGCGGCAAGAGGCCTTTTTTCCCATCATAGATGGAGTGACTGATTGCTACCTGAATATGCTCCCATGCGGTCGAGTGTGCGAGAGACACCTCAAAACCCCCATTTTAATCATCATTCACCATTTAAATTCCACGCATTGTCACACAGTAATGCATAATTGGCGACAAATTGCAATTGACATACACCCCTCACCGGCATACATGCTCTCTTGCGAGCAAATTCTCAGCCTGAGGTTGTGCGTAAAGTATTCAACAATCCCTATTATCGAGTTACTCGTGTGTCTGCACACTAATTTGCAGATAATAAGGAAAATGCCAAATTGGTATATTTCGCTCTTAGGCCTTGCCAACGCCTGCAAACGCATTCCAAGAGCCGGAGGAGGACAGAGAGACACCCGAGCAGCCCCCGCACGAAGGTGGGACAGGGAGAGGTGCGCTTGCCGCTCTTTCCAAGCACTCCCAAGCACACATATTCTTCAACTTCTCATTCCTCACAGTCCATCGGCGCGGCAAGAGCGGCAGAGGAGAGAAAAAAGAGACCAAAAAATGGTCAATCCAACGTGCGAGCTTGCTTGAGAGATGTTTTTTGGCGGCAAATTGCAAATGCACATGAATTTCCAGGAAGGACACACAAGAGTGGACTAATAAATTTATTGAGGATGCACGCGCATTGCCAGAAAAACGCACCACGCTCTCGATGGCCCATCTTGCAGTTGCAGTCACAACGATTGGGACATAATTGGATAGGTCGGTGTGTATAGTATAATATTGAAATGTGATGAAATATGGCACATTTTTACTACATAAAAATGAACCGACCTTGGCCATCAATTTGCATATTTAGTCACACTCTTTCAGTACATCAAAATAGATGTTTTTATTGCCGCTTAATACGATCCCACAGTTCTCCAATACACCCATGGCGGCGCCTCGAAAATTCACAGATATCAATGCACAAAAGCCACCTCACCGAGAAACCGCGAAAATATCGCCTATGACTTCTGCGCGCCCATCGCGCGCCAGCACCAAATAACTCCGCGGAGAGTTATCCAGAGAGTGTCAATGCCTGATTTATTGTCGCGTCCTCCCGATGGTCAGGTCATTAGGAGGCATAACTTGGGTAACATTCCGCGAAGGAGCGTGTTGTGTTTTCGCAACGAATTTTCACCTTGAACTCCATCGGAAAAAATTAAAACATCTATTAACCGGAACTATAGCTTATATTGGTGTGCTCTTTTTTATTTCTTCTTCTTTCGCGAACACTTGTATCGCGCACACCAGCGCGCGTTGGCGCATTTCACCAATTGAATTTTTCGGGGGTAAAAAAAAGAGTCCATCGCATACACTACACCCAATAATTTGCTATTTATATGCGGAAAAGTACACAAATTTCATCGATTCTTTGTTGCCAAAATAGTTTTTCCTCATATGGGCCCGTGCGTGTGTGCGTGCGCTCGTGAATCATTGGAACAATCCCGTTGACATGTTGGTGGGTTCGCGGATGAGGAGGGAAGGCAATTTCCCATGGTTTTTGACGGAAAAGCGAGGCTTCTACGTCTTGAGGAGGAGAACACAAAGGAGGCGAGATTAGCTTAGGGAAGAGATGAGATGCTCTCGGTCGCGAGGAGAGTCATTTTTCTCACTTGTCACACACGACGATGGGGTTAAAGTTGACCATGAGTGTGTCTCCTTTTGTGAATAAATACCGTGAATTAGATGTTCAGGTGAATGCGAGCCACAACTATACCCATGAGATAATGGAACTTTTATGGGGAGCCGCGGCTGGATGAGACAGAGCGAGAGCTCATGCTTGGGAAAATGTGTGAACAATTGTCGTGGTGTTGAGCTGCTGTGGCCAAATAGAACGCCATTAGATGTCCAGTATGTGATTCTTGGTACAATGTTCTTTCTTTTGCGAAAAATCTCCCTCATGCTGCGCGGGATAAGTTGAAAAATATCATTTTTTTTCCGTGAAAAACACACTCGTGTCACGTCCTCGCTCTCTTCCCCTTTGTCCCGATCTGGCCAGAGCGAGAGAGAGAGAGGGAGGGGGAGAGAGAGCGAGCGAGAGGCCAAACATCCTCCAATAGGTTGTGCCTCTATGTCGCTCATCTAACACCCAAGAGAAGACCTATATGTAATCCCATACAATTCCCATCGCTCAAACACATTTCGCATAGAAAGCCCATCTATGTATATGCTGAAATTTCCGTGCTACGGTGCCGTTGTATTTCAATAAAAATACATAGATTCCAGATATGTTGGTAGTGTGCCTCTCCGGTATGACCGAAAAAAGACGAAAAATTCACTCGGGGGATATATTCTCATGAATCGAATTTCTAAGAAATATTTTGACAACGTATAGCGGCATTTTATGTTCGTAAAACACCGAGCTTTATGTTGTGTTGTACTGGCGAAGCATCTCTCATCTCCATGGTATTGGTCGTTCCTCTTTTTTCCATCATCATCATCTTATTCTATCCAACAATCCCAGATGAAAAACAAAAATAAATAGAATAAAAGAGACTTTTTTTCCTCCTTATATATTCGTCCATTCCCACAACTATATTAGGCTCATTCTTCTTCCTCCACTCACCTAATCAACACAACACAGAACAAGGGGAGTCGATGCCAACTGGGAATTTCATCTCTACTCTATGACTCTGTCCAACTCTGTACCCAGAAATCAACGTCTCTTTGTTTTCCCAATTCCATCGATGAAGGTTAAGAAGATGGAATTTTTGCAAAGTAACTTTTCCACCCGAAATTTGTGGTGCAAAAACAATTCTACAATCTATATAATATTAAGTGTGTGGGGAAAATAATAACAAGTAGAGAAATTCGATAGCAGAGATACAAGACAGTGAAATTTAACAGCAATTGAGTAAGTTAATATCACCTGTTGTATTGTTCTTGTTGGCGATCCGTTGGGGGCTCAAAGATCTGTTCGTGGTCCTCCTTTGAGAGCTCCAAGTCGGCAAATTGATCCAAATCTGACATTTTGCTTTTTTCCAAATATTAGCTCGTTTGGTTATTATTATAAAATTTTCCTCAATTTGTACTCGTCGTACAAACTTTTTCCGTCACTTCAATTTTAAGGGAGTTCGAAACGTTTTTCTTTTTCTTTTTTAAGATGATGCTGGAGATCTGTGATGATTTTTTGTGTTCCTCTCTTAATTTTGTTGTTGTTTTTTTTTTAGAATTGTATTCACGTAAAATATCCTTAAAAGTAATTTATCAGTGCCTTAAATTTCACTTTTAGATTTTTTATATGTTGAAAAGTCAAATCAGCAATTTGGTAGACCGAAAGTGATTTTTTTTGGTCTCAAAACTTAAGTGACTCATTAACTACGATTACTAGCGGTAGAGAATACTGATTTTGTAACTTTCTCAGAAACATAATAACTTGTCCTTTTCTCACTAAATGCTTAACTTTAATTTTTATTCCTTTCTCCTCAAACTGCTGTCAAATATTCCACAATTTTTATTCTTTTCTTTTTAGTATTCTTCACTGTCACTGTATTTTTATTGTAAATTTTTGGTCTGGGTCAGAAGTTTATAGTAACGCATTGGAGTCTCATGGAAGAAATATCTGCGGCGCTCGTGTGATGATCTCCAGAGAAAGAGCCAAAATCGCTGTGTGCGGTGATCTCAATTCCACGTGTATAAAAATGACGACGACCAACTAATTACGAATTCAACAATGAAGTTGTCACTACGTATACATTTGGGCTTGGAGTTTTTTCTTCTCCCGTCTCTGCGTGCAAGGAGATTTCTTTTCTCTCTACAGACTTTTCACCACCTTCGTCACTGCCTCAAGCGCGAGTCGAAACGTGGATCCTTGAGTGGTGGGCAAAGAAATATGATTGAGATTTCTCTCCACAAACTTCCCTTCTGTCACTTCTCCTCGTGAATCTCCTTCCGCGCAACAAGGCACAATGAGTTTTCTCGCGTCACAAGTCACACAGTTTTCCCTCTGATTCACACCAAAACTCCAGCGCACAAGTTGGACGAGGAGTGCCGAGTGTGCCCTGGCTAGAACTACAGGTAGTTGCAGGCGATTGTATCAAGAGTAGTGAGTGATATTGCGATGTTAGGACACACTGCAAATATTACTTTTGGGTGTAGTAAATTCGGTGTGTACCCGCGACAAAAATTTTCGTTTCGTAAATTCTATTTTCTTTGTTGCGTTATCGACGAAATTCTCTTTCTCCTATTCCTTTTTTTCTGCGCCCAAAAAGTAATAATTTCGCACTAGACGTGGGGAGACAAAAGAGAGAGAAAAACCGGAAGAAATTTATGCACAAATGGTAACCGAATTTTTTCGTCTCGTAAATTTTGACTTTGGATCCTGAATGCGGTGATTTTTTTCGTCGTCTTCAAAAAACTGTGAATTTGAATTGAAATTTTTGTCTAAAATAAAGATAAAACTAAAATATCGCCGCGGATAGGCAAACGCGGAGTTGTCCGTTCGGGATTTACACATCGACTAAAACACAAACGCTAATACTACTTTAGTTGAACCCTCAACTATGTCTTCTTCTATACCAATGCTCCCGAAAGCACGTCCATATACCCGAGGCGCAACACAATGCTGCGTTAGAGAAGTCTGGCTTAATGGTATTTTCTGCTCTTTCTCACATTCAACCATCATTAAGTTCAGTTCGAAATATACAAATATCTCCCATACCACTTCTCACTCGCGTACACACTTCTTTCCTCCTCTTCTCTCTCGTGCATGTATTTTTCTAATGTACCTTCTATTTCCTCAAACCCACAGACACACATCTCTCCTCTATGGCTCATGCCACATAGAACATTTGGTGGATATCTCTCTTTCTTTTTCTATGTACAATTCCTCGCCTTCTCCACGATATATCGCAGCGCGCTGAGCTAGAGCGAATATACTATCTCACCATGCAACCTCTCTTGGGCGCGCACACATCATTTGGGCTCTCACTCAGAATCATTTCTAATTAGCTTGGCTGTATTGTGTGGGATAGAAAAGCATGATAATAGACCTTTTACATCCATAATATGCTCGTGCCTGTGGCAGTGAGAGATGGAAAAATGGGAACCGCGCTCGCAGCTCACACTCAACTATGTTGCTCTTTTTGACGGACGTCTGTCTCTTTCTCAAATCGCCATTTCATATTCCACGCCAATTCGACATTTTTCCTCAGCCGCACACTTATCGCGCGCGGGAGAATCTATTCGACGACACACACATCGTGCGCGATCGCCAAATGCGTGCAGAATTTTCCACCAAATCCCACCCAATTGCCGATCACCACGTGACTCTTATCATCGCGCACAAAATGTCTCACCCACAGCGATGTGTGCGCCCCCAGAGGGATGCCCTCAGCATCCCTTCAATTGTCAGTTACAACACACGAGAGCCGGAGAGCATTCCTGCAAAAGCCTAGACCGGTGGTGGTGGAATCTTCGGGAAAACGGGCCAGAAAGAGAGAGAGAGGAAAAAAGTTAAAACTTTCCAGGTGTACGAACTAATTTTGCCTATTCTTATATTCTACATGTGTCCTCAATATCAAGCGGGGAAAAAAAGGCATTTTTTCCACTCTTTGTGAAGGTCTCGCACAGAAGGTTTTTTCCTATACACATTGTACTCCACCCGGTATATTGTAGTTTTATATCCTGTGAGCGCATTTGGTAGAGAAGAAAACGAGGCGAAAAAAATTTAGGCAATAGACGCTATGCCCGAATTTTTGTCTGATGCCGCGTTCTCCCTTCAGGGGTTTGATCCCTCAACTGGAAATGTCTATACACCGTCGTTTTGACTATTCGAGAAAGAGAGAGGGTTCGTCTGGCTGCATAGAATCTATCTTTCAATGCGAGAGAGTCAACACATCGAATTGGATCCCGAATATTGCCTATTTTTCTCCACCCCAAATTGGGAGAAAATGGGACTAAAGAGTGCGCCTGTGACACCATTAAGTATGCCTATTTCTCCTCTTTTTCACATTTATTCACACTAAAAATATCCAGTTGATTCTAATAACTTCCCATTTGGAAGTGAAGGGGCCTAAAAATAGGCATGGAAAAGCGTGTCTGAAGGCACTATTTCAGTATGGTGGGATAGGGAAAAATAACAACAAAGCGCATGAAGGAAGCGTCCAACATTCCAGAGATGCCCTTCCGCGGTGCTCGAGACACGCGGCATCGGCCCAGAAATAGATCAACAGATCTTCGCATACTGATGGATAAGATATTTCCGATCCAGATTGTCTCGCGGACAGAAAAATCTCGTATTTCTTCAGGAAATTCCCTCACATGAGTGTGTTAAGAAATGCGCTCACCGACAAAATTATTGCAGCAATCTTCCACGAAAATGCATAAATTTTCAGTGGGTGAAGTGAGGATGGTTTTCACAACATTTCCACAATAAATTGAGAAGGTATTCGTTGGGGGATTGTGGTCCAAAAGAGAAGACAATCATTGATGTATAAATAGCCCTTTTTCCCGTCTTTCACGCAGTAAGAGTTAAGGCGTGTGCATCTCACGTGGATTATAGTGAGCACCTAAAGCTGTGGCGTAAGTGCATTTTACACACCCAACATTTATTTATTATGTCATCGGGATATTGAAGCATATTAGGTCCAGCACAGCGTACAGCTGTTGGTGAGTTTGTCACAAGGAACACCCTCGAAGTGTGTCTATCGCTAAAAATAGGACTCCGCGCCGAGGCAACATTTGCAATTTATTGTCCCAAGAAAAACCCTCTATTTTCTACACAATCAACTCCCAACGAGCCTCTCAACCCAATAGCTATCAAGTCGAAAGGAAAACACTTTGGCTTAATGAAGCCAATTGAGACCTTTCACATCAACTCTCTACTATCATCACATGCGATTGCATCCCATCGACGTAAGATTTCGATATATGTAGCGCACATCAACTCACCACCACTGTCCATCGCACTTTGTGGTTTATCGTCATCCCCATATATTTATGAAATTGAAGAAGAGAGAGGAAAAAAACAGCAACAATGATCATTGCGTGCATTCACCGCATTTTCCTTCGGGTCAGCGCAACAATAGTTGTGTGTCGCCCTCTCAACCCTCCCCGCTGAACACAGTATTTACCCCTTTTTACAAATTGAATATAATGCAATTGTCCAGTGCATCGACACGGCACTTGAAAACCACTATGAGGACGATATGTGCATCGCGTGCCCCGCCCTTTGTCTTATGTCCAATCATGATGCTCTCACATTTGTAATTATTTCAGCATTATTGCACCGCAAGTGTCTGTCCCTCAACTTCCATTTCTAAATTATGCCACGATGCTTGGGAACAAAACCCGGGATCATTGGTGGGTAGTTTCTGGACAAAATTGAGGGCATAAGTCAAGTATAATGGAGACAAGTCAGTCGAGCTCCTCGTGTCGGAACAGCTTTGCCCAATAGACCTTTCTGGAGAATGGCGGGGGAAAAATCATATTTCCATGAATTACGATACACTAGGTGATTTTATGGCTGAATCTTATGTGTATTCCACGCAGAAATTCTTTTAAAAGTAAAAGACACCCTTTCAAAAACACTTTTGAAAGAGGGACTTGATGGTCTCTAAAAGTCTCCGAAATTACCCAATTTTACTGAACTATAAGAAAAAAAGAAACACTCTTAAAACAATCGTTTGCCGGTGAATGCCCTTTAAAATTGAAAGAGTCCTAAGGGAAACGTATAAAAGGGCCACACACAACATGTAAAAGCCATTGCTCAAGATAGTAAAATGGAAGATAACTCAAGGAGTTTCCTTCACAGAGCATCAAGCCAACCCTTGTGTCACTCCGAAAGCACCACAATTTAAGGGGTGAGTCGATGAGGTCATTGCACGAGTGAAAAGGAAAGCTCACGACTCTCGCCACCACACCGACGCGATTTCCAATCGACGCTCCAATCGGGACATTTCTCAGCACTTCCCTTCGCAAACTGTTCGGCCAGTGATATATTTTGGGAGATTTTTATGCAAATGAATTCAGGCACTGGATGATATTCGCATTCTGTGCTCCATGTGTGTGGCTCCATTGCATTCAATAACCCACTCACCGAGCCCATCGACAGCTGGGGTAATCAACATCTTCCCAGGGACTAATTACACGTTCTTCCGCCAACTTGAAATATGACCACATTGACCACTAACTTTTGCTACGTGATATTTCACAAAGATGCCCCGATATACATTATAAAGGTGGCCTGTTTTTTTTTTGTCCTCCCATGCCGGGAGCCTTTCACACCGTCTTTTGCACCATTTCTGATCAATTTCTGCAGGACAAAAGGGTGAATCCACTTAATTTCTCTGGTGCCATCATAATAACAATAAGCGACAATCATTGTGCCAAGTTGTTCATCGTCGGAGGCGAACAAACTGGAGTGAATGAGAGGGATTTTTGTGAAAGTCTCCTCATCTCCACGTCAAAGTACCTTGCATTGCCCTCAATTTGAGGGGATAAGAGTGATAATTTTTCCTTCACTATCGTCGCATTTACGGCCTCTGAACACCGATTCAACCGGCATTTTCTCACAAGACTGCGAACGGGGGAGAAGCACAAGGTTTCTTTCACCACGCAGCTTTTATACAATCTGCCAGAGTCTGGATGGGTGAAAAATACCCTCAACACAATGTGTGGCTTTTTTTTCGGCGGCGGTGGAAAATGAAAAGTGAGAGTTGGCAGAAAAGGCGCGATTTTCTCTATTGAAGCTGTTGACGGTGAAAAATTCCGCAGAAACCACGCCGCGTTCTCGTTGTACTTTCTTCAGACGCTGAAGCGCACTTACACCCAAATCCCGGGGAAATGAACCCCACTAGACCATTCACGCGCGCCTTCACAGCGATATTTTCCGCACTTTTCACCACTATATCACGCAAAGAGTACAATTTTTCACTGATTTTCGATGATGATGGTGACTTTGTCAAATAAAAGATGAAATATTCCGATTAAAAAGTGATTAATTTTGCCTCCAAATCGGTCAGAAACAAAAATCTGGTGTGTTGTACACAATTTAGATCCGAAAGAGAAACACAACATGGCGTCCCGAGGAAAGCAGTGAAAGCGCGAAGGAAATTATCGATCCGGAGTGGGGTTGAGAAAATTCACCGTCTTGACTGTGTGCGTGCGGAGGGTGGAAAACCACCCCTCTCGCATCCATCAAAGCTTCATGCCATCGCATATCGGTGTGTTCTCTTTCGGGCGAAAGGCGCCTCATGTAACCATACACTATAATGCCATCACGCCAGAGTTGAACGCACACTTCTGGGCGTTATTGGGAAAACGTGTAAGGACCATCATCAAGGTGGGGTTGGAAGGCTCAAGAGGCAGCCTGTGAGCGCAGAGAGTGAGAAAAATGAGGAAGAGAAGTCCGTGAGATTTAATTGCGTATCACGCAATTTTGAATTACGTCTCATGGCCATCTAGAGAGTGAATAATATGCTGAGAATTATTCGTCATATAGACATGTGTATGTGTACTGTGAAG